TAGAAACCTCTTCCTTACCAGTGACATAGACACCTCTTCCTTACCAGTGACATAGCCACCTCTTCCTCACCAGTGACATAGCCACCTCTTCCTTACCAGTGCCATAGCCACCTCTTCCTTACCAGTGACATAGCCACCCCTTCCTTACCAGTTGCATAGCCACCTCTTCCTTACCAGTGACATAGACACCTCTTCCTTACCAGTGGCATTGATTCCACATACTTACTAGTGACAAGATATTTTGGTGCAACAATAAAGTTACGTGAAATCAAACAAAACATTAACATCCGACATTCTCCATTATAATGTAATGTATCGGATACGCTACACAAAGCTCTGCCTGCTCTTAATGATGCTTGTTGTCTTTCCTTTTCAGGCATATAACTGTTCCTCGTCATCAAAGGTATGTAACCTGTGCATCATAAGTAGATAAGTGTAACTGATCTTGTCAATTTAACAGTATCTCATAAAACATCACTAGATAACACGGAAAATATGTCAGATGTTACCAATGTCCAACCATACATAAGTATAACTCCAACTCCAACTATAAAGTGATATCAGCCTGTATATTCTATTTCCAGTTCTGCAGTACGCACGTATCTAAATTGTATGAGTTGTGTGGCGTCTTCATCGGCCTCAACATCGTACACCTGTGTCTTGTGGTAAGTAACAGAAGTAGTACACATCCTACATAAGGGAAAGTGGGGTGTAGGGCTATTTCTGTAAATGTATTGTGGGGTATACTGTTGTAAATGTGTTCTAGATTTTCGGTTTAAATGTGCTGTAGGGCTATTTTTTTATATGTAATTTAGAGTTACTATTTTAAATGTGATATAGGGTTACTGTTTTAATTCTGGTGACGGTATCACTGTTTTATATGTGATCTAGCATTACTGTTTTAAATGTGATATAGGTTACTGTTTTAAAATGTATTTAAGAGTTACTGGTTTTAATTTGCTGTAGGGTTACTGTTTCAAATGTGTTATAGGATTGATTGTTTTATAGGGAATACTGTTAGGCCTGTGTATTTACCAGCTATGTATATCAGCCGTCTCGACAAAAATATCTTCTATTGGCGAAGACGTGAAAATGAAACCCTCGAAGCAAACAGATCAAAAAGACGGTGTGATATCCTCTACGCGGCCTCTGACTAGCTCCAGTGTGGGATCCGTATCGAGCATTACAGACAATTAAAGTATTCATATAAATGTGATGTAGGGTTACTGTTTTGAATGTGGTGGATGTTTAACTGTTTTAACTGTGTGTGGTGGAGGTTAAACTCTTTTAAATGTGATGTAGGGTTACTGTTTTAAATGTGGTGGATGTTTAACTGTTTTAACTGTGTGTGGTGGAGGTTAAACTCTTTTAAATGTGATGTAGGGTTACTGTTTTAAATGTGATGGATGTTTAACTGTTTTAACTGTGTGTGGTGGAGGTTAAACTCTTTTAAATGTGATGTAGGGTTACTGTTTTAAATGTGGTGGATGTTTAACTGTTTTAACTGTGTGTGGTGGAGGTTAAACTCTTTTAAATGTGATGTAGGGTTACTGTTTTAAATGTGATGTAGGGTTACTATATAGGGTTAAATGCTTGAAGTGTGTTGTGAGGTATAGTGTTTTATATGTGTTGTGAGGTATAGTGTTTTATATGTGTTGTAGGGTAACGGTTTTAAATGTGTTGTAGGGTTACGGTTTTAAATGTGTTGTGAGGTATAGTGTTTTAAATGTGTTGTGAGGTATAGTGTTTTATATGTGTTGTGAGGTATAGTGTTTTATATGTGTTGTG